AGATAAGCAGCAATCCAAAATGCAGCTGGACACCAGGAGCTCAGCAGCACAACAATCCCCCAAGAAATGGCAGAAGCAAAAAGCTGCCTTCATTGGTTTGCAGGCCCTTCTGCACATAAAAAAAAATCACATCCTAGGGGTTTAGATTGGCTTCTCATAGCTAAATTACAGTGCTATTTGATGGTACCCAGTGTGGTGTAGTGGATACAGTGACAGAACAAGACTTAGGAGGCTGGGGTTCAAATTCCTGCTCAGCCATGGAAACTCACTGGGGATGAGGAAGTGGAAAAACTGTTTCACTTTTTTATTATTTTGGGGGTGGGTATGTATATGTTCTCTTTATTGTCTGGAAGCCACCTAGAGTGACCGTCGCAATGACCAGATAGGCGGGGTATAAATAAAATAAATCAATAAAATAAAATAAATAAAACTGCTCCTTAAATACCTCACTTACCTTGAAAGCCCTGTTAGGGTAGTTATAAGTTGGCTCCAACTGGATGGCACATAACTAAGTAATGATTTAATGGTATGTTTATCAAGAGGTTTGTCAGAGAAAGGGTAAAAGAAAGGTTACATAAAATTACAGTGTACTCTGCATTCAGAAAACCTGTAGTAAGAAGGAGCATCCCAAACCAGTTTGGGTTTTGGATGTCCGAGTTATACACCCACAAAAAGGGCCCAAGAAAATTTCTGCCAGGAACCTAGAGACACCAAAATCACAAAGAAGCTTTTCTCCATTCTCCTCTACAATCCCTCCAAGTTTGATGAAGATCGGGTTTTGGACTTCCGAGTTATACACCAACAAAGTTGATCCTCCCAGAAAAATGCTTGTTAGCAGCTGGCTTGGGGGGGAAATTCCAGCACTGCCCCAAGCCAGCTGCTAAGGGACGCTTTCCTGGGAGGACCCACTTTGCTGGTGTATAACTCAGATATCCAAAATCCAACTTTCACGAAACTTGGAGGAACTGTAGAGGAGAGGGGAGAGAAGCATCTCTGTGGTTTTAGTTTCTCTAGGTGTCTGGGAGGAAATTTCCTGGGTTGCCCTCTTTGTGGGGGTGTATAACTTGGACATCTGAAACCCAAACTTCACCAAACATGCAGGGCTTGTAGAGGAGAGTTAGTGGTAGTTTCTCTGCAATTTTGGTGTCCTTAACCACCTGGGGAACCATTTTATAGGGTTTTAAAGTCAAGATGAAGCAACCAATTGATTCATCGGGGGGTAGTGTAAATTCATGACACATCGACCTTGATGGATTATTAATAACAGCAAATCACCTTTTAAAGAATTTGTGTCCATTTCTAGGCTACAACTTATATTTTCCTGCTGCTTCTCATAGTTATAAGATTTTTTTGGATGACAAGCTCATCAGTGACTTCATAAGTTACAGCAATGTATTTGTAAGCACTTACAATGGTGCCCCACATAGCGACAATAATCCATTCCAAAAAAAACATTGCTATACGGATTCGTCACTATGCGGGGCAAAAAAGCCCATAGGAACGCATTAAAACACATTTAATGGGTTCCTATGGGCAGAAAACTCACCGTTCTGCGAAAATCCTCCATGCAGCCACCATTTTCGCTGCCCAGTAAGTGAGGAAAGGGCGCGAAAACACTGCAGGCAGCCATTTTATTTACCCGGCGGCCATTTTGGAACTGCCCAACCAGCTGTTTTTAAAACATCGCAATGCGAAAATCAGTAAGCGAAATGCATTGCTATCTAAAACATCGCAATGTGATCGCTTTTGCAATTGCAAAAAACACCATCGCTATGTGGATTCATTGCTAAATGAATCGCTGATTATGCGGGGCACCACTGTACTTGTCCTTACAGTTTTTCTCATAACATTTTGTTTTATGACATCTTGTAATATATCCTGCAATGTATCTGTGTAATACATCTTCAGGCAACTAGTGAATACTACAGGACTCAGTCCTGGGCCCGGTGCTCTTCAACATTTTTATTAATATTTCGGATGAGGGACTGCAGGGGATACGTATCAGACTTGCAGATGACACAAAACTGGATGGAATAGCTAATACCTTGGAAGACAGGAACAAAATTTTAAAAATATTTTGATAGGCTTGAGTGCAGATGGGGGTATTCATATACGAATACCCCTGCACAGCTGGATGTGGAGCTCTGGAGCTTGCGGTCAACTATCCACTCCTGGCAGAAGGAGGGAAGACGAATCTCCCTGCCAGGCTGATGAGTAGATAGCTGACTGTGAGCTCCAGAGAAATTGGAAGGGAGAAAGGAGCCGGCAGCAGCAGCGGATGCATGAGTGGGTGTTCCAGCTGTGCAGGGGTATTCATATATGACGGGAGCCGGCAGCAGCAGTGGATGCATGAGTGGGTGGTCCAGCTGTGCAGGGGTATTCATATATGACTACGAATCTCTAGGCTTGAGTACTGGGCTGAAAAAAACATAATAAAATTGAACAGGGATGAATGCAAAGTTCTACATCTCGGGGGGAAAATCCTTAACTAAAGTTACTAGATGGGGGACCCTTGGCTCAGTAATACTATGAGTAAGAAGGATCTTCGAATTGTTGTAGATCACAAGCTGAATATGATGCAACACTGTGACGTGGTTGCAAAAAGTGCAAATACTATTTTAGGATGCATCAGCTGAAGAAGATTCTCCAAATCACACGAGGCAATTGCCCCACTCGATGCAGCACTGTTTGGACCTCGTCTTGAGTGCCATGTCCTGTTACAATTTAAGGAGGATGCCAACAAACTGTAACAAGTTTGGAGGAGGGCAATAAGGATGATCAAGGGACTAGAAATAGCAAGTTTGGAGGAGGCCAATAAGGATGATCAAGGGACTAGAAAGCAATGCAGCGAACTCTGCTAAGGTTAACACACAACAAACCTTACAAAATGATTATGGTTGTAATGACAGTGTAAGCAATGGTAAAAAAGTTTTCTTTTCATTCCCATAATTGCTTTGAACTGGACAGGGCAATTCCAAAATAAAGCAAAAATATTACAATCACATTCCTCTGCTAGAATTGGAAAAGCAGAATGGGATAATGCTGGAACTGTTAAGGATGATGGAAGATACAGTGGTGCCTCGCTTAACGTGGATAATGCTGGAACTGTGAAGGATGATGGAAGATAAATAGGAAGAAAGACAAACTGTGTCTGCTAGAGCTGTTGGTCCCCAGATGTTCTTACACTACAACTCCCAGAAGTCCTTGCCAGTGCAGCTAGTGGGGAAGGCTTCTGGGAGTTTCAGTCCAAGAACACCTGTGGACGCAAGTTTGGAACCACTGTGCTAGACATGTCATGGAAATGGCCTTGACTATTTAGGGAAAGGTTCGATTAGCGAGTGTCCACAGCACAATCCTGTTCTATACTTACACCAACTTAAGGAACATGGCAGTTCGGTAAAATGCATAGAATCAGTACTCCAATCTTATCTGAGCCTTTTGCAAATGGGTGTTTCAGAACTACAGCTCTTTGAAAATGCTGGGAATTGTAGTTCAAAACCAATTTATAGTTTACATTAGTCTATATTTTCATGCACACATTCAAAACACATAGGTAGCTTTTATTTCATGTTTTCTCTACTTTCTACTAGATCCAGAGTTCTGTTTGCTACAACTCCCAGAAGTCCTTGCCAATGCAGCTAGTGGGGAAGGCTTCTGGGAGTTTCAGTCCAAGAACACCTGTGGACGCAAGTTTGGAACCACTGTGCTAGACATGTCATGGAAATGGCCTTGACTATTTAGGGAAAGGTTCGATTAGCGAGTGTCCACAGCACAATCCTGTTCTATACTTACACCAACTTAAGGAACATGGCAGTTCGGTAAAATGCATAGAATCAGTACTCCAATCTTATCTGAGCCTTTTGCAAATGGGTGTTTCAGTGTGTTTTTGCCGGGATTCCTCGCTTACCGGGCAGTGAAAATGGCAGCCGTATGGAGGATTTTCGCATTAAGGTGAGTTTTTTGCCTACAGGAACATATTAAACTGGTTTTAAATGCATTCCTATGGGCTTTTTTCGCATAGTGACAAATCCGCATAGCAACGATTTTTGCTGCACGGATTATCGTCGCTATGCGGGGCACCACTGTAAATAGGAAGAAAGACAAACTGTGTCTGCTAGAGCTGTTGGTCCCCAGATGTTCTTATGCTACAACTCCCAGAAGTCCTTGCCAATGCAGCTAGTGGGGAAGGCTTCTGGGAGTTTCAGTCCAAGAACACCTGGGGACCCAAGTTTGGAACCACTGTGCTAAACATATGTCATTGAAATGGCCTTGACTATTTAGGGAAAGGTTCGATTAGCGAGTGTCCACAGCACAATCCTGTTCTATACTTACACCAACTTAAGGAACATGGCAGTTCGGTAAAATGCATAGAATCAGTACTCCAATCTTATCTGAGCCTTTTGCAAATGGGTGTTTCAGAACTACAGCTCTTTGAAAATGCTGGGAATTGTAGTTCAAAACCAATTTATAGTTTACATTAGTCTATATTTTCATGCACACATTCAAAACACATAGGTAGCTTTTATTTCATGTTTTCTCTACTTTCTACTAGATCCAGAGTTCTGTTCAGGAAAATTCACCATTTGGCACATTCACCCATACCTCTAGTGTCGTAACAGACTGAAAAGGCAATGCCTTTGTTCATATAGGTCCATTAGCTTGTAAACAATCATGAGATAAAATGGTGTCTGTTTTAATCATAGTCCATGGTCTGGTTACAGAATCTTTAGCTTTCTCCTGCATTTCCCCCCTCCTTATGTATTGTTCTCATTTAACTTATGTTTATACGCTGCGTTTGTCATCATCCTGTGAGTGTACTCCAGGTGGTTCACAGTTTTGAAAAACGTGGCTTACAATTCAACAGACATGACACAAAAACAAACAAATATTGAAGATGGAAATGAGGAATTTCAAGCAACATTGGTCTAAAGCAGTGGTGTCCAACCTTGGCCGTCCAGATGTTATTGGACTTCAACTCCCAGAAATCGTGCCCAGCAGAGGTGATGGAGAAGGCTTTTGGGAGCTGTAGTCTAAGAACATCTGGAGGGCCAAGGTTGGGGACCACTGGTCTAAAGAAAAGCCAGATGGTTTGGGGGTCTGAATCATGGAAGCAGAGTCAATGTCAGGTCTCATCACACACCCACACCCTTTGATCGACACCTATACATATAACGCTTGCCGACAGAGACAAATCTTGGAAGGAAGGAGTCTCGAGGTGCAGTTGTGGTGATTTTCATCAGGCCCGTAGAACAGTCTTTCATGCCCAGATAGCAATGATGGCCATGATTGAGAAGCCTAGACCAATGAAGAAGAACTTGGTGAGGAAACTTTCATGTGAACGCAGCTCATAGGGGAGTATCTCCAAGAAGGTGACATAGAGAAAGGTTCCTGCTGCCAACCCTTCTAGCAGAGCCTGCGCCAAGCCACTCCCATCACTGTTGGAAAGTGAAACGCCAATCCCAATACTGATGCCAGCAGGGGACATCAGGGCAAAAACCACCAAGTAGAGCAACCTCCATCGCATTTGGGTGCCACTCTGCACCAACTTCAAGGACAAGCTGAAGACGACGATGGCCTTGTGGATGAGCACGGCAAGGCAAAGCTGAATCACAGCCGTTTCCTGCTTCTGGACACCAATGGCTAGGCCCTCAAAGACTGAGTGGAAGGACAGAGAGAGGAAAAGCACAAATGCCCGGAAGGAGCTGTGGGATTCAGGTAGGCTCTTGTGATCTCCTTGACCTTCATGGTCTCCATGAACATGGACAGCCCGGGGGCAACAGTGAAGCACTAGGCTTTCAATAGCGAACACCAGGAAGAAGCCCAATGAGATGACAAGCTCTCCAAAGGGATATGTCTGTTATGGAGAAGAAAGGGAGAAAAATGAGAAAGAGGGAGACAAGTTATATATCAAAGTGAATAATAAAGAATGGATACAAGGAAGTGGGCTTTCTCAGGTGTGGCTCCATTCTTGTGAAATGGACTTTCCACTGGAGATGTGCCACCCCTCCTTCAAATCTTTAGGAAATTAGTGAAGGCAGAGCTGTTCAGAGAGGCTTTGGGTCATGTTAAGGATGATGAGTTATTCATGACGACTCTTTAATAACAACTTCTATTTTAAAATTCTTAAACTTGTAATTTTTTCTTCAATTCGTTTATATTTTACATCACCACAGTTGGTCGTTCTTGTGCCTGATGTTTTAAGCTGATTTAAATTGATTTGTTTATATTGTTGTTATAATTGCATCATATTTTTCTGAGTCAGCGGCCCAGAGCAGTGGGGTTCACTAAGTCAGGCATTATGAATGAATGAATGAATGAATGAATGAATGAATGAATGAATGAATGAATGAATGAATGAATGCATGCATGCATACATACATACATACATACATACATACATACATACATACATACATACATACATACAATAAAGTAAAATAAAATAGAATAAAATAAATAAGAACAGCTGTATCAGTCCATTGCAATGAAAAGAAAAAATAATATTTCCTTGCAATGCAAAGATTCGAAGGATTAACCAAATTATGAATACATCAGCTGGGCATTTTTGTTGAAGCAGGCAGTGTCCCTAAAAGCTTGTGTTTGCATTGAATGTGTTCATGTTTAAGGTGACATGCCATTGTTACTGTTGTACCATCACTGGGACGCCCTGCTCTTCCCCTGGCATTAACTTAATGTCTAACTGGCTATAATGTACTACTTCACTTTCCTCCGTTGTTTTGCCCAAATTAAAAAATTCTTTACATCTAGGATGCTTGGGAGATAAAACGGCTACTCTAGAAAAAACATGGGTCTTCTTTAGGTGGCAAACAGCTTTTGAAGCGACCTGCATTCTGCAATCCATTCAGTATGCAGGTCAATGTCTTTGGCAAAACCTCAGAGGAGCCCCTGCCCTAGATCGTTCTTTCAGGAGATGCAACTAAATGGGACAGGTGAGTCTTAAAAATAAAATAAAATTAAAAAGAACAGCTGTATCATTGCAATGAAAAGAAAAAATGTTTTCCTTGCAATGCAAAGATTCGAAGGATTAACCAAATTATGAATACATCAGCTGGGCATTTTTGTTGAAGCAGGCAGTGTCCCTAAAAGCTTGTGTTTGCATTGAATGTGTTCATGTTTAAGGTGACATGCCATTGTTACTGTTGTACCATCACTGGGACGCCCTGCTCTTCCCCTGGCATTAACTTAATGTCTAACTGGCTATAATGTACTACTTCACTTTCCTCCGTTGTTTTGCCCAAATTAAAAAATTCTTTACATCTAGGATGCTTGGGAGATAAAACGGCTACTCTAGAAAAAACATGGGTCTTCTTTAGGTGGCAAACAGCTTTTGAAGCGACCTGCATTCTGCAATCCATTCAGTATGCAGGTCAATGTCTTTGGCAAAACCTCAGAGGAGCCCCTGCCCTAGATCGTTCTTTCAGGAGATGCAACTAAATGGGACAGGTGAGTCTTAAGATTGCAGGGTTAAATTGGCTTATGTATGGAAATTCTAAGATTTCACCAGCAGGTGGAAGTCAAGGCGCATCACAGGAAAGCTCAAGAGATCCACAGCCTTTCCTGCAGTGCTCCACTAGGTCACTGATCAACACTTTCACTTCCTTCTTTTGCACATACTTTCAATCTAAAACACAAGCTGTACATATAAAGCACTGTCTTCATTCTTGGTAGACCAACAATTTCCACTTTCATATGCTTCTTGTTCTCCTTTCCTGGAGGCAACTGCTGATTTGAACGTATCTTTACAGGAAAACAGACTGATTCAATATAGTCTTACTAAACTCGTAGAGTTACATGATTTTTAATATGAATAATGTTGATAATTATTAAAAATTAGGAATCCATGATTTGGATGCATCACTGCTAAAAAATAAACAACCCATGAATTTGAATTGTGGTGCTGGAGGAGGCTCTTGAGAGTCAAACCTATCCATTTTGAAGGAAATCAACCCTGAGTGCTCACTGGAAGGACAGATCCTGAAGCTGAGGCTCCAGTACTTTGGCCATCTCATGAGAAGAGAAGACTCCCTGGAAAAGACCCTGATGTTGGGAAAGAGTGAAGGCAAGAGGAGAAGGGGATGGCAGAGGACGAGATGGTTGGACAGTGTCACTGAAGTGACCAACATGAATTTGACTCAACTCCGGGAGGCAGTGGAAGACAGGAGGGCCTGGCGTGCTCTGGTCCATGGGGTCATGAAGAGTCGGACAGGACTTAATGACTAAACAACAACAACAAGTGCTAAAAAAATTAAATTCTAGATAGTGGTGAAGGCTCTTGGGAGTTTTAGACCAGGGACATAAGAGTGTGGTTTATAACAAGATCTTGGGGTTTGAGAGCTCACCTGGTAAGCTAGAGGAGATTTTGGGCAAGGGTGAGACCAGATTCTGTCATAATTCAAGTGAGTGGGCAACACATAGCATTTTCAGCCTCAACATTTCTATTATATATACTTCTATGTGCACTTTCTCCTAACATTGCCATTTCTGTGTCAGTCTTTTGACTGGAGAATTGAATCAAAAAAATTCAGAGAAGTGGGAATTTTGGAGGAGAACTGGGGTTTAGTTCACCTATTGGCTCAAAAATTTAAAATAAATAGATTAAAATGAAAGCTCCCTGTCTTAAATTAAAGACTCTGGAGCATCTTACTCTTTAGTTCAGTCTTATTTGTATTTTCACTCCTTCTGGCAAAGAAAAGGCACCTATAACCTTTTTTCTCTGCTAACAACTATGGTACAAAGAAGTCAATAGCTGATCAAAATATATGGCAACATCTGTCTTCATCTGATTAGTGACCCTTCAGCCAAGGGAAAGTGCAGTGCTTAAGAACATAGGACACTCACCTCAGAATCATCATCACCATTAGAGGTGCTGTTCAGCTTAGGTACAACACTTCCCTGAATGTAAAGACAACAGCAGAGTTAGGTTTGTTTTCTAGTGATAAAAGCAGTACATAGTCAGTTGGAGATAAAACGAGTATATTGTCAAGGACTGCTGTGGAGGTACAAAGGAGTTGGACACTAATTCAAAGACATCTGCTTGATACATTTCAAAATCTGAATCCAGCTGTTCATTTGATTGAAGTTCCCCAAATTCAAAGCCGTTGGATACATCTGCAAAGACCGAATTCACCTTTTTGAACTATGCACCTTTTCGTTTATTACTACTGAAATATTGAAGTTTCATTGAAGCGACCAACATGAATTTGACCAAATTCCGGGAGGCAGTGGAAGACAGGAAGGCCTGGTGTGCTCTGGTCCGACCAGAGTCGGACACGACTTAACAACTAAACAACAACTGAAATACTGTTTTGAACAATGATTAGAGATCGTCAAAACAGGGGACAAAAATTGAGGTGTTTCCCTCTGCCTGCCTACTGCCCAGTTTAGTGTAACAACAACACAACTGGTGTGATGTGCAGAACATCAGATCTGGAAAAACTCTTGTCACTCTAGCTCAGTATTGTATACTTTGATGAGTACTGTCTCTCTAGAAAAGTGGTTCCCAACCTTGGGTCCCCAGATGTTCTTGGACTACAAGTCCCAGAAATCCTGGCCAGCACAGCTAGTGGTGAAGGCTTCCGGGAGTGTTAGTCCAAGATGGAATTGTAGATGTTTTTTGCATACTACTCTGAGCGGTTGGAGCTGACATAACCAATGGTGAGAGATTATCAACAACTGGAGAAGTACGGAACTGTAATATTTTTTGCATACTACTCTGACTGGTTGAAGCTGACATAACCAATGGTGAGAGATTATCAGAACTCCAGTTTGAAAATATCTGAAGGACTCCAGTTGTCTAACTTGCCCTAAAGATTTAGATGGTGGTACTTCTCATCATATGGTCCTTGTGGTGGTACTTTTCATCACATGCATCCCTCTTCAATTTGGAGGTGCTAGGGACCACCTATAAAGCAAGTACTCTAGCACTGAATCATTTAATAGCCCATTGAACTTGTTTTAGGAATGCTTAAATAAAGAGGTCCCTTTGATAGACTTACCTGTTGCTGCCTCTTTTTAATTTCCTCTTGGATGTCACCCAGAGCATCAGCTACCATGTGCATAATACAAGCACCAAGGAACACCCCTGCAGCAAAGCATCCGATGCAACTGAGGATACGTCGATGTTTCCCTAGAGAGTATTAAAAAAAAGAGAAACATGATGAAGGAAAGGTATTGTTTGAGATTTACATACAGCGACAAGGCCGGGGTGATTGCCTGTGTCCTTAAAGAGGATTTGCTCATGGCCATCACCGAACAGCAAGAATAGAGATGGGGAGTTGCTCAGAGGTTTGTGTTATTCCCATTTGATGATGATGATGATGATGATGGTTGTTGTTGTTGTTGTTACCATCAAAAATCACATGTATCTTAAGATTAGATTTAGACTTGCTGGATAGCCCAGTGGTTTAGGCATTGGGCTGCAGAGCCAAAGGTTGGGAGTTCAATTCCCCACTGTGCCTTCTTGACAGGAACTGAACTCAATGATCCATAGGGTTCTTTCCTGCCTTGCAGTTCTAAGATGATGATGATTCTTAAAAGAAATCATCTCATTTACAAAATGAAAAGAAAAAGAGAAACACACATTTGTTCATCCAGATCCTTAATAGCATGGGTTTATGCTGTTATGCAGTCAATTATGTTTGTGCTGGAAGAGAGTTGCCATCTTCTTTTTCTGAAGGTTCCTCATCTTTAGCCCTTACATGGCAGAGAAAGTACAATATGGTCCAGTCCTTGCCAGGAATAGCTGCACTTATTGGGTCGGAACACTGCAGATGAAAGAAGCTTTTGGTTCTGTTCGCTTTCTCTAATCCCATGACACTAGGGGTGGAAAAATTTTAGGATGATGATGAAGAAGTAGAAGAAGAAGAAGAACATGGAAGCAGTAGAGATTTTGCCATTCATAATATGGACCTTAGTCACAGTACCATGGACAGAGCTTTCAGTCAAGGAGTCTCCCCCACCTACCCACTGCTGAGTAGCCAGAAGAGCAGGAAGGCGGAGCAGTGCCAGCTGGGCTTTGTCCGATATTGGCATGGCGAACAGGATGTCAGCAAGTACACTGTGTGCCAACCCATAAGGGGATCGGTCGTTTTGGGGAGGCCACCTGAGTTTGGGGTATTGATATATGAATACGAATACCCCATCTGTATAATTCACATGTTTTCTTGAAAGAAGTGAGATCAATTCACATCTTTGGGTAACTGAAGCCTTTTCATAGGTTCTCAAAGAGAAAAGAGATGAAAAGCTGGAAAACACAGCGGATCCACACCCGAACATCCATCATTTGGTGTGTTTGCACTGGGGGGGGGGATGCTCCATATTTGTGCTTTCTGGGTCATCATCTTGTATGTGTTCACAGATACTTTTGGAGTTTTAAAATGGTCTGATTCCTTCAGATGCAGCAGTGGATTATGTTCAGTGGAGTAGAGATGGGCATGAACTGCTGGGGGAGGCAGGGCTGGGAACCACCAAACATCTGTTCATCCAAAGGACGAACAGGCATGAATCACTGAACGGCTGGTTTGTGCCCATCTCTAGGTAAGGGTCAACTGCTAGTTCATCCAGCTTCTATATATATAGATGTGAGGCACACTGTCTTTCTCTTTCTCTCATGCAGCCTTTCTCAGGACAACCCTAGAGGGCAGGCAAGATGTCTGATACTAGGGGCTGTGCTGAAAGCACAACCCATCCCTACATCCACACAATGTCCCATAAATATGATTGATGTGTGAAGAAATTTTGAGATGCCATATATTCAAGGCGGGGCATGCCTGTTTCTATCATGCCTGAGTGCAGCATTGGTAAAGGTAAAGGTTCCCATTGACAATTTGTCCAGTCGTGTCTGACTCTAGGAGGCGGTGCTCATCCCCGTTTCCAAGCCACAGAGCCAGCGTTTGTACAAAGACAGTTTCCGTGGTCACGTGACCAGCATGACTAGACACGGAATGCTGTGATCTTCCCACCGTAGTGGTACCAATTTATCTACTTTCATTTGCATGCTTTCAAACTGCTAGGCTGGCGAGGAGCCAGGACAAAGCAATGGGAGCTCACTCCATCGCGTGGATTTGATCTTACGACTGCTGGTCTTCTGACCTTGCAGCACAGAGGCTTCTGTGGTTTGACCTGCAACGCCACCACGTCCCACCAAGTGCAGCATAAGGAGAGCATTATTACAAGAATTGGTTGATGCCAATTAAAGGCCTTCCTCTGAGTTTAGGAAAGTTACAGACGAAATGTCTTAACAAGTACGGCCAGAGATTCTGGAAAATGCAGCCCTCAAAGAAGACTTTTTCAAAATCTTGTCATGTGTTACTGGCCCAATATCAGCCAAAATAAGGGCAAATTCAAGAATGTTCACTTCAGCATGTTTGTTTTATTTTTATCCCACCCATTTAGACTGAAGTCTACTCTCAGCAGCTAACAATTTTAAAACATAAAATAAAACAATATTAAAGTTAATAATGTGTGTGTATGTATGTATGTATGTATGTATGTATGTATGTATGTATGTATGTATGTATGTATGTATGTATGTATGTATGTATGTATGTATGTATGTATGTATGTATTTCTTTTATTTTATTTTATTTTATTTATATCCCATCAATTTAGACCAAAGTCTACTCTGGGCGGCTAACAACAATATTAAAATAAAACAAAGCAACAACATTAACATTATGTTGTCTTAGCAGAACGGTTTCAGAAATGAATGGCAGGGAAACGGAAGCAGCAGCTTGCGCCAAGCCTGTGGAACGGGTTGGCTGTAAATTTAATGTGCCTAAAGCAAGCAGACTAGCAGTAAAGGGTAGATGATATCTCCATTTATTGGACCACTAAAAAAATCACAAATGAATGCTGGCTTTTAGCTTCCTTGTGCGCAACTAGGCAGAGAAGACCAGCATTTAAACAGCAACGTTAAGTTGGAGGGAAGAGTGTACATTCAAGCAGATTACTTTTACTCCGACATCTATTTTGATTTCAAGGGCGAACGTTTTTGCATCAGAAATGCTGACAGCAGGTGAGCTGTGCGATGTGGCTGGCTGGGATGCTGTGAACCACATGGCTGCGCTCTAGCCAAGATTTCGTGTCTAAAATTGAGGAAAGTGCAAGTCTTGCAAATTCCTTTTCTTACAATGTCCTATCATGTATTTTATCCTCTCCCTTCCCATTCCTCTCTCTCTCTGCCTTATTCCACCTCCCTTTTTTCCTTTATACTAGATTCTGAATTTGTAGCCATTCAGTGTTAGTCTGTAAGCTGCTAAGGATAGAGACCTGTAAAACAGGCCGTAAAACACTGTAGACATCAATAATGTAGCTATAATATCTCACATAGGTTAAATTAAAAGAATGATTCAGCAGGGGAGCAAAGCAAAGCAAATCCCTTGAAAGCAAAGTCCCTAAAAGCAAAGCAAAGCTGTTTAAAAAAAAAAAAGCAAAGCAAAGCTAGTCTGTAAGCTGCTAAGGATAGAGACCTGTAAAACAGGCCGTAAAACACTGTAGACATCAATAATGTAGCTATAATATCTCACATAGGTTAAATTAAAAGAATGATTCAGCAGGGGAGCAAAGCAAAGCAAATCCCTTGAAAGCAAAGTCCCTAAAAGCAAAGCAAAGCTGTTTAAAAAAAAAAAAGCAAAGCAAAGCATTCTAAAAGCAAAGCAAAGCTGTTTTTTTTAAAAAGCAAAGCAAAGCATAAGATTCTTGGTAAATGAGGTGTTACATATCATCTAACGCAATGAGTAGCCCTCTAGCTGCTGTTGGATTACAAATCCCATCACTCCTAACCAGCATTGTCAATGATGGGGGACGATGGGAGATGCTGTCAGTATCCAGAGTCACAAGTTGAAATTAATGAGTAATGTAAAATTATGGCCATATTTATACTCATACACACAAGTCTTCTGACAATCATGTTGCATCACTGAAGACCCAATGTGTGACATTCACACCCCCTCTGCCACCTTCTCACCTCTGGCCATGTTGAATTGGAACCACTGGATCTGGGACGGGATGAGGCCACAAAGGAGGGTGATGAGTAGCACTCCTGCCAAGCATCCAAGTTTCACCTCCAGTAACTGATCCATGCCTGCAGCGTCGGGTGCAAAAGATGACACCAGAAAAATAATAATAAAGCTATTGAATCGGAATAAGCTACTGTGGGATCTCTTGCCTTGGATTGAAGCGTGTTTGGCTCGTTTTAGCCCAGTCTGATTCAAAAGCTTCTCATGATGAGCCACTGGTCCCAAGCACAGAAATCCACCAAGCTTCTTCACGCTCTTCCAATGCAGCGAGTTATTAGCAGGACAAAAGAAAAACCGAGCAAACAGATTTACACCCTCGTGATCTTCACAACCACACTTCAGCCCATGCCAAGATTTAAAAAAACAACAAGATGTCCCAGTTAGGGCTCGAAGTATCAGTTCCTTCTTTAGCTTCTGCTAGCTTTTTACACTTCCTGGTAACCGTTCATCTCCTTGTTCTTTCTCTTCAACCACTGTGGTTACCCAAGTATTCTGTCATCCATCCTTCTTCCCTTTCCTCCTGCCTCCTATCTTCCTCTTACCACCTTTCTGCTTCCTTGAGGAGCCCCCATTCCATCTCCTTCCAGTTCCTGCCACCTGCTTGGAAGCCTGTGAGTAATCACCTCGATACTCCCAGCCAGAAAGCCTCCCGCCTCCTTCGGTGTCCCAACCCATTCCAGCACCTTCATTATGCAAATACAAAACTCCATCCATAGTAAAGTCGGCCAAAGAGAGAGACTTCTGCTGTTCACTTAAGGTCACTAGGCCCTGGCAGCTGCAATCAAGGGGCCCCGCCTCCTCTTTTTGATAAAAACAGTAATTAAAAATGGGACTTTGTGGAGCTGGCTATTGATTAGTGACTTTGCTGCCAGTCTTCTGCTGTTATGTGGGACCTATGTGTGGATTATATCAAGAAAAAGTTTTACTTCCCCATTTTATTCCCGGTTACTTGCAGTCATCAATGAGAGAAGTTTTTTTAAAAAAAACAAGCAGCACTCGTGGTACGAAAAACAGAGAAACGGGATAGCTTAAGAATAAGCACATATGCTTTTACATTTGGAAGGATTGTGGTATTTCCTGTTTTATAGGCTCGCATAGCACGTGATGAAAGAGATTAATCGGAATGCACCATATAGGGCTAGATGGGCCATCGTCTGATCAGGTACAAGGCAGTTGCTTAGATTTCTTGCCGGGATCTAAGTTGGGAGCATTCTGATCTGATTTAGCAGGAAATAGCCCTTTGTAGGACATTGGCTAGCTGCAAAATATACTCCTAATTGTTGTTGTTTAGTCGTTAAGTCATGTCCGATTCTTCGTGACCCCCATGGACCAGAGCACGCCAGGCCCTCCTGTCTTCCACTGCCTCCCAGAGTTGGGTCAAATTCATGTTGGTAGCTTCAATCACACTGTCCATCCATCTCGTCCTCTGTCGTCCCCTTCTTCGCTTGCCTTCACACTTTCCCAACATCAGGGTCTTTTCCAGGGGTCTTCTCTTCTCATGAAGAATACCCCAAATACTGCATGCTTAATGAGAGTCATCAAAATGTGTGTGCAACCAAAAATGGCATCGTATGAATGAGTTCAAAGTTTTTCTTATCTTCTTTAAATCTTTCTGTCCACTGTACATATGCAAACCACTGAAATTCATAAGCATCTTGAATTAATTCTTCTCTTGCCTTCATCTTAAATTCTCCCCCTTCCACTTTTAGAATATTTCCATGGTTGTTGTTTAGACTTTAAGTCGTGTCCGACTCGTCTTGACCCCATGGACCAGAGCACGCCAGGCCCTCCTGTCTTCCACTGCCTCCCAGAGTTTGATCAAATTCATGTTGGTAGCTTCGATGACAAATCGATGACAATACCCCAAATACTGCATGCTTAATGAGAGTCATCAAAATGTGTGTGCATTGGAAAAACTTACAAACTGACCCCAAATGTTGTTGTTTAGTCATTAAGTCGTGTCCGACTCGTCTTGACCCCATGGACCAGAGCACGCCAGGCCCTCCCGTCTTCCACTGCCTCCCAGAGTTTGATCAAATTCATGTTGGTAGCTTCAATCACACTGTCCATCCATCTCGTCCTCTGTCGTCCCCTTCTTCGCTTGCCTTCACACTTTCCCAACATCAGGGTCTTTTCCAGGGGTCTTCTCTTCTCATGAAGAATACCCCAAATACTGCATGCTTAATGAGAGTCATCAAAATGTGTGTGCATTGGAAAAACTTACAAACTGATCAACCAAAAAATGACATCGTATGAATGTTAGGCAGCGAAAAGCTTAAATATACAAAAGTAAAAGTTTATCTGGGGGGCTCTGCAATTTGCAAAATCTGTTAGTGCACAGATATGGAAATCCAAACATTAAGTCCAGAATTCAAAATGTTTACCAAAAATGGCATCGTATGAATGTTAGGCAGCGAAAAACTTAAATAATCATACAAATAAAAGTTTATTTGGGGGTTCTGCAATTTGCAAAATCTGTACAAATATGGAAATTCAAACATTAAGTCCAGAATTCAAAATGTTTACTTCCAGTATTGGTTAAATATTGCGTTTCTGGCTATTTACCTATTAATAGTTTCTTAATGATGGTATCTAGTAGGCGTCTTGTTACTGTAGTCATTTAGTTTTTGAAACTGCAGGAGCTGCCTTGTTTCATCATTTTGCTGGATAGCTCAATGGTTTACATCAGACGTTGGGAGTTCAATTCTCCACTGTGCCTGCTTGAAAAGGGCTGGATTTGATGGTCCATAGGGTCCCTTCTAGCTCTTCAGCTCTAAGATTATTATTATTATGTTCTCTTCTGACCAGCAGAAGATTCCCTAAGGTTGTGCAGAGTTCTAACATCACATACAACATAATTGGTGCTCTGCTGCCTTACATCAGGCGTAAGATACATGATGCTGAATTACACACACACACACACACACACACACAAAGCTGTAGTATGTCATTCTTAACTAAGGTCTAATTTTAATGAAAAGAACTACAGTATGTAGTTAAGTCAGGTCTAATTTTAACAGATCAAATGGATTAAACTGTTTTTCCCACTTTTAAAAAAACCTATGTGGAGAGTTAAAAAAAACTACTATATGTGGATTAAATATTAAACACAACAAAGAGCTATTTCAGCACCATAAAGACGAACTGATTTGTTTGTTTTTCCTTTTGGCACAGGGCTTCATGGATTGCCACCCATGGGCTGAAATCCATGAACACTGAAATGCCAAATACAACCTGCTAGTGTTGGCACAGCACGTTAAAGACTAGTAATTTTTGCTAACAAACATACTACCTCTTAAGAGTACGCTGCTGTAAATCCTGACTGCCTATTATTGTCCTCAGAATTCATGCATGTCTTTAGAGCATCATATTAATATCCATAGAAGGACCAGTTCAGAAACTCACAAAACTGGTTCAAAACACATCATATTCACCATAGAATGCATACATGGCAGAGAAGCTAGCTTTTTCACAAGTAGTTCTGTGTGAGTTTAAAAGATGATATCTGTATAAAGACATGTGACAATGCTTTTATTAAAAGGGGGAGGACCCTTTTATTTCTTATAATAATTGGATGCTGTCAATTTTGATTTAGGGTGACCCTTTTCGGGATTTTCTAAGTATACTCAGAAGTGTTTTACCACTTCCTTCTTTTGAGGGGTGCTCTGAGGCGATGTTGCTTATCCACAGCTCTATACACTGGCTCTTCTGTATCTTCCTGGGAAGCACAGTGTGGAACTGAGCTCCCAAGCGCTGGCTCTGCTGCCAAGTTCCCTGAGCTCTCCGAACAGATTTATTTCTGTCTAGAAGGGCGGGATAAAAATCCAATAATAAATAAAATAAACAAAATAAATTTCCTATATTGTTAGTGACATACCACTGGTCCACTCCAAACCCTTTGTAGTGACACCACTTTGTAGTGACACCACCAGATGTTGTTGTGTGACGTCTCAACTGCTTGAGCACCCGCTCAGCCTCTACAACAAGGAAAGGGAATCTGTTGCCTTTGTGATACTGGGCAACAACTCCGGAGACAGTTGGACATTAGCTATGGTGGTTGAGGCTGATGGAATTCAGAATCCAACGACAGCTGGGAAGTCTCACCCTGGCTCCACAGAGCCTAAATAATGCTAACCTCTTACTAGCGAGGTCACAGAAGGATGTGTGGATCAGCTTGCAATCTTTCATCACAAAAAAATGCCTAAAGCTGTATCCAGCAGGATCTGTGGAAACATGTAGTATCACATTCCGACTAATATGAATAATTGCAATTAAGGTGCTATGCTGAAACCACTGAAAAACACTTTTGGGCCTTGATTCCTAGCAAAAAAGAGTTAACAGGAAGCCTTTTACAAACACGCATGCACATTCTTCAATGAGCTGAAAAGGATATGAATAGAATCAAAATACATGACGCAAGATCACCAACCAAATGAGACAAGCATTAGAAGATCTATGTAATACAGCTGAATTTAGAACAGCGGTTCCCAACCTTGAGTCCCCAGATGTTGTTGGACTAAAACTCCCAGAAGCCTTCACTGCTAACTGTGCTGGCCAGGATTTCTGGGAGTTGTAGTCCAAGAACACCTGGGTTATCCTAGGTCGGGAAGCAGTGGTCTAAGCCAGTAGTTCTTACCTTTGTTACTTGGATGTTTTTTGAACTGCAACTCCCAGAAACCCCAGCCAGCACACTTGGTGGTGAAGGCTTCTGGGAGTTGCAGTCCAAAACTCCTGAGTAACCCAAGGTTAAGAACCAGTGGTCTAAGCAGTCATTCTCAACCACTTTTTAGGCCACGGGTCTTTGAGGAGCTCTTCCTAGGTTCCAGGAGCCCGTCAAGCAAGGCTACAACACAAATAGATGAAAAGAAAAATAGAAAAAAATCAGGCTGTGGCCCCCTTCAAATGTGCCAAGGTCTTCTAGAACACTGGTTCTTAACCTTTGTTACTCAGATGTTTTTGGACTGCAACTCCCAGAAGCCTTCACCATCAGCTGTGCTGGCTGGGGTTTCTGGGAGTTGCAGTTCAAAAACACCTGAGTAACAAAGGTTAAGAACCACTGTTCTAAAAGGCCCTATGGCCCCTATTGAAAATGGCTAGTCTATTCAAGACAACACAGCTGAAGGCTTAAAGGTGCTACCACCACGAGAATTTCTCTCTTAATCTGTGTGGGCAGCTACCTAGTTTACGATCCCACACATTCCATTTGGCCTCCTTTACCATTTGGGCTAAAGACCTGTTTGACTGGCTAGATGTAATCACACCCCAAAATGTTCCTTTTCACAGCCCAAGCGTTCCAGTTTTATGGAGAGCGAACAAACAAGTTGCCATTCCTACAGGGCAGTTTCCTTGTTCCTATTCCGGTGAAACAGAGCAAGACAAATATCTCTTCTTAATAACTGAAGGAAACAGAAATACAAAACCTTTCCCCCTCTTCCCCCAGCACTCAAGGGAGAAAATCCAGCATCAACTTCACTGCTGGTATTCTATTCTCCACACCTCTGCCTGCGATTAATTCTGCAATCTTAAAAATATATGTGGTAGGAAGTAAGTTGCATCAGGACCCCACGACACTTACTTCTGAATAGGTACGCAGAGGACTGTGCTGGAAAGCCTGCAGTCGGACCAGCACACTGGGCTGTGTAGGAGAATCAGACAAAGCACACATTTCCAACCTCACGAGTCTGATTCAAACTGGTTTGGGTTGAGATGGAACGGCCAGATTCAATTCCGCATTGAAGCAAAGCCTATTTAGAAACAAGTTTATTTCTTCAGATTATATCTTCTTAAATTGCTTCCATCTACTAAGTTTTGGGGGCTTGTTGAGGGCTGGAATGGCATCAGCCTTTGAAGCTTGCAATCTGAAATTTGGTAGATTTACCGTATTTTTCGCTCCATAAGATGCACCTTTCCATAAGACGCACCAATTTTTCAGGAGAAGAAAACAGGAAAATATACTGTTTTCTTCACTCTATAAGACACAAAGACTTTCCACCCCCCTGTTTTGTGGGGGGGAAAGTGTCTTATGGTGCGAAAAATACGGTATTTTTCAACAGTTCCATGAACCAAGTATCCGGCTGCAGAGGTCAAGAGTTTGATTCTTCTCCTGAGAAGAACACCAACCTGTGTTGCCTTGGACAAGCTGCCCAACACAGTCTGGCCCCTAGAAGGAAATAGTAAACCACTTCTGAACACTCTATACCTATAAAAGCTTGGAAAGGTTTACAGTAAAGTCTGAAGCAACTTGCTGGAATCACTGTCATCGTCGTTAAGGACTCCAGATTTTATGCATGGTAGTGCAAATATAGGACATATAAAAAAGGTTATGGCCATTTTAATTTTCAATTGCACTGGACTTACAAATTTGCATATCATTTTGGATCCAGGGCATGAATCACAACGGACAAAATCAGAATACCTTTGGGAGCATTGACTCGGCCTGCAATTCGAATTGGGGGTCTTGTGCATAGTCCTAGACAGGAGCATGATTAGAGAGCATACAAGGATGGGCACTTTGTGTCCCTCCAAACGATCCTGGACTGCAACTCCCATAACTCTTCACCATTGACTGTCTGGAAAAGACCAGTGGGAGTTTTAGTCTAGCAACGTCTCAAGACACTGGATCCTCTCTTCACAAGTGTATCCTTCCAGTTCTGCTCCAGTCTTCTCCAGGCAGGATTTGGGAATGTTGTAGTAACCAAACACGAGACAGTATTAAAGGAAGAGAACTTTTGAACTATTTGCCTAAATATGTCATTTTTCTACTTGCAGAACCCCCATAAACTGAGATTTGAAACAGAATCAAGTTTTCATTCTGAGGATATACGGGAATAATTTCAGTTTCTGAAAGATAAGCTTCAGCCCCTTTGTTTTTTCATGTCACCATGTTCTTATTTAATTACAAAAGAAACAGGATTGTGAATTTTAAAAGAAAATCTTTCTGAACCAGGATTACAAGTTGCTAAAAAAAAAGAATCAAAGTAACAAAACAAACCGGAACCATGAATATATTGGTTTTTGTTTAACCACTGTATGAATTGCTTTTCCTTCTATTGTGAAATGACCCAACAGCCTGAAGAAACAGCTTAAACTTAACTCCCAAAAGTTAGATGGAAAAACGGTGAAGAATGAAAAAAAATCAGGATCGTTTTAAGCTCTACAATACCATATATTTCAAGCAGTGAAAAAGAATCCCCTGAAGAATTACAATTCTTCTACAGACTTCAAAAACATGTAACAGATAATTATCAGGAGACAAATGTTGTTTTTAATTATTTTAATTGAAATTTCTATACGAAGCCAGAACCCACAATTCCAATATTCACCTGTTTTGTTTCAGTAAATGTTCCAATTTTTGTTTTTAAAAGAGGAACTTCAACATCCAGAAAAGAATCTAGCCACAGCAGAATCTAAACATAATTGTTGTATTGTGTTGCGAGGTTACATCTGCCTTTCCTTGACTCCAATAGGTTTTTTTTCAAGGTATGCGAGATATTTTACCTCAAATGAGTTTCTATGATCAAACAGGAATTTGAATCCAGGTCTCCTGAGCCCTAATCTGTCACTCTATCCACTGCACCCCAGGGAGTTTCTTAAACTTACAGTATTGCATTTATGGTCCATGGTTCTGCAATGGAGTTCAATGTGTCATAACAACGGTTTCCAAGTCTTGCTAAGAGCCACTGCTTAAGATATTTTACCTCAAATGAGTTTCTACGATCAAACAGGAATTTGTATCCAGGTCTCCTGAGCCCTAATCTGTCACTCTATCCACTGCACCCCAGGGAGTTTCTTAAACTTACAGTATTGCATTTATGGTCCATGGTTCTGCAATGGAGTTCAATGTGTCATAACAACGGTTTCCAAGTCTTGCTAAGAGCCACTGCTTTGGGGAATGTGGTGGACCTTAAAGTGAGGGGTTGTGTGCGCCTCCCTTTCAGCCACCTTTTCAAGGATGACGGAGTTCCCTCAAAGTAGTGTTTTGCTCCAGGAAAGGAATTACCTGCCAGACAACACAAAATTCAACCTCCTTCTCCTACATCCCTTTCCTTCTTTTACTATTGTTTTAACCTCAGTACAGCTGGAGCAAATGTATATTATTTGGAGTGGCTGGCTCACCTCACGGCACAGCTGTACCTTTCACCATCAAACATGGCTACCATTCAGATCCAGAAGGGCTACCATGGCACAATCCTGCTGGCACACAAGTACAGAAGAGGGAAAGAACAGACAACCCATGATTATTCTAGCTCAGGGTGAGCTGTATATGGAGGTCAAGGGGTTGCATTGCTACCCTTCAACTCAGGAGGGGCAACACCATTTCTATACCAGTAAAAGAAAAAAAAGTTTTTTCCCTTTTAAACAAGGTGCACATTCTCTGTGCATCTTGGAACTGAGCTTCTGGGAGGGTAATTACAAGAATTACAAGGTACAAGTGCACTTTTATGCTTGTTAAAAAAAGGTACATGTTACATTTTAAAGACAAAGCCCTGCTTTTTCTTTTTTTCTCTCTCTCGTTGTCACCAAAATGGCAGCTTTGTTTACAAAGTGGAGGTTCTTGGAGAGAGCTCGTGAATAGTCCGGGGTGAAAGTGGTTCATATATTCTATGCTGTCCACCGGTCCCTGTCTCTGATTCTGTTAATGGAGGACAGCAATGTAAACCAGGCAGGGGGGCAAGTCTTTCTTCAAATGTCTTGCATGCTTCTACATCCTTTGCTTAAGGGTGTTTTGGGGAAGGGGCTGGCAAGGACTCCTAGAATGTCTTGATGCTGAGAGCTGGGCTGCCAATTTTGGGCACTCCTTCCAAAACCTATTAATCTCGCTCAGTTTCAGGTCAATGGCTGCAGAAATGGGGGGATGGGAGGGGACTACCTAGAACAGATCCACCTAGTCCATCAAAGATAAGATGCCCAAGAAGCTGGGCTGGAGGAACACCAGCAAAATAGCAACCAGTCAAATTGGCTCACATTTCTCTGGACTTTTTGGGGACTTTTTAAAAAGAAACCATGGAAATTAATGAATGACCAGTCTTCTTAAGGATTTCAGTACCTTATGCCATGCTCCCAATACTTCCACACCCTATTGGGATCTCAGATCTTATAAAGTTTCCTTTTCTTCTCAACTTTTGACTGAAACTTGAAAGCCAGCCAATGACCTTTACCCATTTGTGTGGCCCCTTTGTTGGGGATCTTTGAAACAACTAAAAATCTGGTTATTCCAACAGACATTTCAAACTATTCTATCTACGGAGCACACAGAAACCAACTTTGACACCTTATAATGATATTGATTGATTCAAATTGAAATGTCTTAGATATTTTAGCATGTTTTAAAAAATGGTTTTATTATTGGTTATTTGCTATTAGGCTGCATTTCTTGTTTTTTTGTGTGTGTGCTGTAAATCACAGTGGCTGTTGGCCAGATGGTCAGTATATAAATTGAAAAAGCAAATAAATATTTTAATTCATTTAACCTATTTTTTTTCTGGCCTGGAAGTTAAAACACACATGAGATCACACCCTCGTTTATGGAACCAATACCAGAGACTTCCTATCACCTCCTGGTTTCAGCGTCCTGATGCTAATCCAGTTTAGAAACACCACACCACCCACAAAACTGCATAGTCTGCTGGAAAACGTCTCGGTTTTTCTTCCTCATTCTTTATCCAATCCGATTGCCAAATTCCAAAGGAACTCATCAGCATTACGCAATCTGCAGAGATGCTTTATCCAACTCCTCTGCGCACTTCAAACTCTAGTGGACAGGATTGTGAGTCTTATTAGACTGGAAAGTACTTTCAACCTCTTTGAATAGGGATCTCACAGTTAGTGTATTTATGTTAGCCTTCTTAATCCTGGAGCTCTCAAGGTGTGTTGGGTTACGATTCCCATCATTCCCAGATTAGGGAAGGCTGTTCTACATGATGACATCTTGCTAGTTCCTTCCTTGTTGCTCACATGATATTATCTAAACAAACACAGAAACTGTGGGGAAAGATTCTGGGCTAACACTTCAACATGCTAGCCTTCCCTGTGCAAATAATGACTTTAGAGACGGTGCAGAGAAGAGGAAATGTAAATCTCCAATTCCCTACCTTTCAGCTGAAATGGTTGGTACCCTTACTTCAGAAATGCAGGCTCTCTGGTTGTGTGTTTATTTCTCAGTGCATTCAGCTCATCCTGGCAGGGAACAGAGCCCATCACAGCAGCCACAACAGTGAGGCAGTCTGGAGGATGCAACAGGACTACACGTGCAGCCGCTACAAGTGGCCATATCAGATCAAATGGAAATGTTGGAATTAAAACATAGCACACAAAGAGCAGAGAGGGGATCCAAGAAGGTTTTGCATCCTCTGTGCAAAATGCTTCAGAAAACCTAGACCCAGTCATTCCCAATTTTGGGTCATCTAGATGTTCTTGGACTGCAAATCGCAGAAGCCTTCACCGCTAGCTGTGCTGCCCAAGGTCTCTGGGAATTGCAGTCCGAGAACACTGGGGTGACCCACAGTTGGAAACCACTGCTGTACACCACATAGATATTTCCCTGTGATCCTGGAAATAGTGCTTGCTGCTTGTTACACTCCAACCAGTTTGCCAGTCCTGTAGCACTGGCTAGCCTTCGTTGGCCAATGTACGTAAGAAGTCCCCAGGAGGCCGTAGAGCACGCTAGGAGCAGTCCTGTCAACTCTGGTCTTTATCTGCAGGACCTTTTTCGTCTTCTGTTTCTTCTTCTGCTTCTGGAGACAGCTCACTAAGTGAGTTGAGAACAGGAAGGCGGTCTCCGCACTTACTACGCCGGGCACATTGGTAAAGATCACTGTAGGAGAGAGTGACAAGATGAAGACCCCTGCATCCCATTCATAGCATGAGTCATCATTCCTGACACACCGCCCACAGATAAGAGCAAGAGTAGAAAACCTTTGGGCATTCAGCTGTTTCAGACTACAATTCCCACAATTCCTAATGACCAGCCATGGTAGCTGTAATCCTGGGAACACCCGGAGTTACAGCTAAAGGTCCCCCACCCTTCATCCCACCACCAGCTTTTGCACGGAAGAGTTCCATACCTGCCATGTTTCTTAGCGGTGATGATGGCATGCTGGAGGCTGCCATCTGGACAGCAGAGGTGGACATGGGCATGGGAAGACTGCGCAAGGACAGGCTGGGTGATCCGAGGCCACAGTTCTGTGGATTTTCCGGATCCACGGCTGAGGATAAGGAAGGAAAACCTCTCCTCCTTCTGTGGTGGGTTCTAGAAGGCCATAGATGAGGAGGAAGAAGGAGAAGAAGAAAGAGAACCTGGCCTTAGAAAAAGTGTTTTTGTCTCTCTTCTTAAGGGTGAGCTCAGCTAGTCAATGGGAAACAATTCAATCCTTGCAAATTACCCTGAATGAATAAAAGGGTAATTTGCCTTGAATAACATGACCACCCATTCAGATCAGTGTGTCAGCATCTCCCTGTCCATGACAGAGGGCTGGAGACACACAGTTCCCTCCCTTCTCTCCAGATGTTAGAACTTGTCCACACATGATGGCTGGATCATCAAATGAACACATGGTCCACCCATTCCCCTACTTGTTGCAAGTCCACAATGCATACAAAAACCTGTCAGAAGAGAAAAATGCTATGCTTCCAACCACCCCAAATCGACTATAATGACGATGCCCATTACGAGGGGATTCCAAATCCATTCACCTTACTCCCTCTAGTTTCCCGGCCACTGTTCAATCCAGGAAGCTCCTACATGCTATCCATGTTTGTTCACCCAATCTTGGGGTTCCCAAACATGGGTCCCCAGATGTTCCTGGACTGAAACTCCCTGAAATCTTGGTCAGAGCAACAAGTGGTGAAGACTTCAAGAGGTTTTAGTCCAAGAACATCTGGGGACCCAAGGTTGGGAACCACTGACTTAACACACCACATTCTTCATGGCAAGGACTCTCCAGCAGGGACACCTCGCAACATCTACCTGAGTTTAAGAAATGCAGTGAGTTGAAACTGGGGTCTCCGGTAAGCTGTGCCACTCAATCTACAACGTCCCCAACTTACATTACAACAGAAAAAGCACCACAAGTATCATATCTTTTTTATAAATGCCTAGTGGTCCAAGAGTTTCTTTTGCAAAAATATCACGGCACAGCATGTTGTGAGATGAAGAAACCAACACAAGGAGACAGGACTCACCTCAGATCCTCCTTGACACAACTTTCTATCTCCTTCTCTTAACCATAGCTCTACATCTAAACACACATATTGGAGCAGGGGTGGGCAAAGTGGGAACACCTATGGGCCCCATCTTTCTCCAGAAAAATAAAGGATCAATTTCTGAATTCCTGGAAGTTTCTTGATGTGGCAGTTATTCTTCTAAATACAAATCCTGCCCTGTTTTAAAACCTCTAAATGCTCTTTAAAAAAAATTTTTTTTTTTACTTTTCAGCCTCTTTATATACATTTTAGTGTGGCTTTCAAAGGGGTAGAAAAACTGCATCTGCACTCCCAAAAATGGCACATTTGACATCAAGAGGTATAGATGTTAACAACACCAGTTGTCAAGGCACACTTACCCATTTGAAAGGCAGGGGCTGATACTTCTGGATGAAGTTACATGGCAGGGGTTGGTCCCGTGACAGGCGAGGGCAGGGCAAATGGTGTGGACACTGAGACAGAAAACACAGTTACTGCAAATTCTCTTCCCCAGGTTCGTGGCTCTTTCCAGGCAAGGGTGTCATCACTGACAACTTAGCAAAAGAGAAAATCCTGTGCATTGCTTCTGTTCCCATAATACTCTTTTGAGTTGAACGGGAGTTAGACCTGGCTACATTCTAACAAGATTGGTCCAACAAAGAGTGGCCCTGACTGCCAGATAGGCAGACAGGCGGGCAATCAATCAATCAATCAATAAAACAATATAACATATAATAAGAATATAATGTTGTGTCCTCCTTCGTCTCCTTCCTCAGCACATTTTGCCTTAGATACCAATCATGGGCTCCTCCTGGTTCACATGGCAGGATTCATCTCGGACATAGGAAAAGCGACTCTGATTTAAGAAATCCCAGAAATGATAAATTTTGGTGAGGAATGAGGTGGAGGAAATCTATGGTCCTGACACCCGTTCTTGGTCTAACATGCCATTGTTTCATTTAACCAAGATGGTTAATTATGAAAGCATCATAGCCTCTCTCATCAACCCTGAATGCCTTGGTACTGCTTTCTTTCACCCAGTTTAGTTCTAGGAAAGTTCTGACACTTACTGGAGCAAAAACGTAGGGTTCCCGAGGATCATGAGCTACTTTCTCTTCGTCCTGCACAAGAGAAGAAATGTTAAGGATTACAAGTTACTGGAATAACCCTCTACATTTTTACGATGTCCTCTCCTGGCCTACGAGAAAGGGAGTAACTTTTGAGACAAATGTTCCATATATAGGGAGCTGATTCGATGTGGCCAAAATGTCTATTAGCATATACATTGAGGCAATTAAATAGATCTGTGGTAGAGAAAACTATCACTTCACTTCAACAAATGCCCATGAACACATTCATTTGGAGACAATTAAACCTCTTCCCCGTTAATTAAATCATATTTAAAAATCCTAATATAAGAAGCAGAACTAGAGATCTGATACATGTTCAATTAGCAGGAGTTAAATGTCTCAAGGAGGGAAAGATATATATAGCTTATCTCAAAGGATCAAACAACTGTTGAATTTCCAACTCCTGTGACGTCTTTAATTGCATCCATGCTTTAAAGAAACATCAGGAAAGGCATAAAGATTTCCCCAGACTAACAGAAGAAGGTGGACGGGATGCATGCTTTTTCTAAATGAGGCTACAAATGCATGAAGCTCCATTACATGCAGTATAAGATCTCGGGCCTCCATGAGCATCTGATGACCTTCCTTAGTACCGTTTTCCACCAGAACCTAGAAAGAAGACAGACAGAAAAAAAAACAGAACAGGTGCCAAAAATGTCTTACAAAAGACAGAACTTCTTCTGTGCATGAAATTCAAGCACAATTGATTACTATTGTTTTTGCTTATATAATTGCAACAGCATGTGTGTGTTAGAGAGTCTAAGAAGGCCACACATGACTGCATTTCTGCTGGAGGCTTATCTGCCACTGTTTGCTCAGTACCATTTTATTCATTTCTGTCACAAGACACATGGAATCCCTAAGACAGCAGAGACTACTCCCCTTGTGCTGATCTGGCATTAGATACCTTTGAATACAAAGGATCTCCTGGCACTTTCATGAAGCCAAACCAGAACTACCCAGAAGCTTTCTGACGTCTGACATTTTCTGGGAAGTGGAGGGGGAGAAAAGAACATAGAATTGTGCTGCTTCGCACAGGACAGAGATTGTGAGTCACGATTTAGTGGTGAAGGCGCTACCAAAAGACTGAGCTTTTGCTTCACAACCCATGAATCAAAGATTAAGCAGTGGTTGGTGGGAAATACAAGGACTAAAGATATAAGCTTTGTATCCATATATGAATGCGAAGTCCCTATTTCTAACAAGGACCATGTATCCATTGGTAGGATCAATCCAGAGCAGATGCACCACTTACCAAAAAGCCATCTGTCTTCCTCCAAAGGGTATGCAGGGTCTCTACTCTTTCCGAATACCCTGGGAGTTCATTAAGAGAATAAGCGGATACCACAAGGTCAAACTTCACCTGCAGCAGAACAGAGAGACAGGACATCTGGCCAAGAAGTCTTCAATCAAAAAGCTCGAGGCCTTTTTAAAAAGATGACATTTTAGTGTAATGAAAATCAGCAGGGATGGAGGATTTTAGAAGTGTCAATGAACCCTACTCAGATCTGCTGGAAACCTGAGGGCTGCATCTCCAGGGGGGTTGGTTGCCTATTGCATTTTAATTCCTTAAAATTCTTTAAATGCAATGTTTACATAGCCATTGCTTCCTGTTAGCTAAGACATGCATTTAAGAAAAATAAACAAAAAAACTTTTTAAAACTGAAAAAGCCACCTTCTGGCTAAAATGAAGGTATGCAGGGGAGCCATGACTGGTAGGAGCCTCATGGTCAAAACTCTCCTCATAACTTGGGTTCAATCCCAGGCAGCCAACTCAAGGTTTACTCAACCTTCCATCCTTGCAAGGTGGGTGAACTGAGCACCCAGCTCACTAGGGGTGGGCAACATGTAGCTTGCATAATTAAATTACAAACCGCCTAGAGAGTGCTTTAAGTGCTAAGGGGAGGTATATAATCAGCACGCTTTGCTTTGCACCATAAGTGCATGGGAGTAAGGAATGGCGCTAGAGGGTTCATACAGCCTGTCGGCTGCATGCGGCCCACTTTTGGTGTGAAGGATGGGCTGCTGGGCTGAGACTGTGAGGCCCGACATTCAAATCTGTGTTCTGACCTTGGGAAAGCCATGCTGTTCTGTCCAAGCAAGTGTACATGATGTTTCTGATGGTCCAGTTAGAGGGTGGGGAAAATACAGCCCAAGCACATAACCTTTGGCTCTTTGGAAGAAAGGAAAGGCTTCCTAGGGTCATTCACTTGATATCTTACTGAGCTAGGTCTCCTCATTATCTACACCCCCTGGACTGAAAAAGGAACACTCATATTTCAATTTTTTGAAAAAGTACCTTACTAAATATGGACCAGGTTCAACAATGCAGGGGATCTTTTTTAAAAATGCTGACAGCAACTGAATCAAAATGGATGTTCTTATAGCGCTTTGGCTGGTGGGGCAAGGAGAGAGAGTTGGAAAAAGGCTGTGTTTGCCATCTCCTATTGTTAGCTTTGCTATCTTTATGATGGCTAAAGGGGCGCCTAAGGTCCCGCGCTGTTCTAAACACAGATTCCCACCTAGGAATAATTATTTGTACCTTTGGTGAGACGGGGAGGAACTGCCGGAAATAGACACCGGGAAAGCATGGAGTCTGCTCCTCGGATAAGCCTGAATAGGAAAACAACAACTGATAGGCAGAAGTATGGAGATGGAAGGAGTGCAATGGGTTCTTGTACTGGCGATGGAGTCGTAATTCAAGACTTCTGCACTGATGGGCCGGGTGGGTGGCACAGTCCACAGTTATGCACATGTGAAATATTTCATATCAGCCATGTAGTAAGATGAGCTTTCATTTAATCAATGTCTGAAATCCTGTTGCTTAGTGTGACAAATTCCTCTAAAATGGGCCCACTGAATCAGTGCAGATTTGGTGAGTCTACTCCTCCATAAGTTCCACTGATTCAAACGGGCCTACACTACTTATTCTATTTATTTATTTTAAATATTTCTACCCTGCCTTACTCCTTAAAATGACGCAAGGCAGCTTACATAATTAAAGACAATATCAAAGCTATCAACAGCGAGTATACAAATATTAAGGATTTTTAAAAAATCATACAAAAAACATAAACAGCACCAAAACACATTCAAACAAGTAAGGTAATAATAGATTTTAAAAACCCCACTCAGGTAGCCAGTCAGCTCAGGGAACGCTTGCCTGGAGAGAAAGATCTTCACCTGCTTGCAGAAGGTCATCAACGCTAAGCAACAGGATTCCAGCCAATGTTTACAGGGCTCTAGCTCTTAAGCCTAGGAAGAGTTTTGATAATCAGTACATGGGGGATGCTTGGTAAAATCCCAGGAAAGGTCCCGTGACATTTTTAGTGGTAATGGGGTGGGGGCTGAGGAGAGGACATCTGTAGCCTGGCTCAGTTGTGTCCAGTTCTCCAATAACCTGCAAGAACAGAGCTATACAGAATGAGCAAATAAAATGAGCTTTGTGGACAAACACAGTTCACATGTACTGCTGGCTAACACGGTTAGGTACAAAAATCTCGTACAGTGGTGCCTCGCAAGACGAATGCCTCGCGGGACAAAAAACTCACAAGACGAATGGTTTTGGTGATGTGGTTGATGACTCGCAAGACGAATGTTCCTATGGCTGTGCTTCGCAAGATGAATGTTTTCCGTTTCTTTGTTCCTTCCTCAGGTTTGCTGATTTTTAAATGTTTTTCTATGATGTTTAAAAAGTTAAAGTTTTTTGATTGAAACTTTTGAAATCATCATGTATGGCTTTAAAGAGCACTTAATAAACTCTTTGTAAACCAAATTTGACTTTGTTCTGAATTTTTTTTGCCCATAGGAACGCATTAATTAGATTTCAATGCATTCCTATGGGAAAACACATTTTGCAGACAAATTTTTCGCAAGACATTAACCGCAGAACGAATTAAATTCGTCTTGCGAGGCACCACTGTACAGTATCTCACTGGGGCAGGCCTTAGACTTTCAGATTTGTGTCTTGTCCTTCACACTTTTGACTCATTTTACACACAACATCTCTTCCTCCTCTGGTGCCGGTGAAGTCTCCCTGATCTTGTGCATTAGTTATGATGTGTTCTCTCCATCCCCCCCAAAAAGGTGGCACATCTTTTGCTTCAATTTTCCCATTTGAACCTGAAGGTGGGGAACTCACTGGAGTATAGCTCTCGGCGTGTGTGACCTCGGCTACTTGCTTTGCCCAGGGTTACCTTACCCCTGGAAAAGTACAAATAACTCTCACATTTCTCTGAAGGTGGGGCATGCCCCTACCTGAAATGATTATACCCTTGAGGCTTTTTCTAATAGCTCAGGCAGAAAAAAAACTTTCAATGGGATAATAGGGGTCCTGATTTTCAGACTGACAAAACACGCATAACTTCCTCAAATACACCCGGGGGAGATACATCAAACCAAAGGGGGAAGGGAGACAAAAACATTGTGGCCCCTCAAACACTAACTGCTATAACTTAAGCCCATTTCTATTTCAAGTCCACTTCCTCAGACATCAGAGTGAGACCACATGACTGTCCTATTTATACAGTCCCACAAACCGGCAGGGCTACAGATAATGGACAAAGTGACAAGGCTTTCTGAGTAAAGGAACAGGACCTTGAAACTGGTAGAAAGAGATTGAAAAGGAGTGAAAATCAACTACCCGCCACCAAGTCATTGTAAAGTGTGAAATCCTGCATTCATTCCCAGAATTTACCACTTGCTATTATTCCCTTGCTGTTGTTACCTGGTAGATTGATAATTAACATTATTCCCAGCCTGACAGCTTACCGTACTTTTTGCTCTATAAGATGCACTTTTCCCTTCAAAAAAAGTGAGGTGAAAAGTCTGTGCGCCTTATGAAGAAAATACATTGTGTTTGGTTCCCTCTAGTAGTCAGTCTGATAATTACACCTTTTTTCCTGGAAGAACGCTGCCTTAAGCTTGCTGGGACTAGGCAAAATGGTGGCGGCTTAACAGACCCCCCAGTACTGTACTCATTAGTAGCACTGATACTACACGGCATCCATAGCAGCCCTGTAGGACCAGCACTGCTTACTGGACAGCTGGACCACGTGACCAGCCAGACCTGGGGGAAGCAGAGAGAGAAGAGCTCCATGGAGGAAGGGAGAAGACTTGTTCAGGTACCTTACGTAACATAATACAGAGGAATTCCTGGCTAGATTGCTGACTGGTGATATTAAGGGACACATGAGGCATTGTTGATGAAAAGTAGGATTTGTTTCAGTTGCTCACTGAGTGAAAGGATTTTAGTTCTTTTGAGATTTGTCATACTGCTCAAAGCAACCCACTCTAATGGTATCTTAAACCTGAATTTTTGATACTTTACACTGATGTATTGCACCTTGGGGTGTCTATTTCACTCCCCTAATGGTGAACATACTTCAAAATGTATTATATCACTGGTTCTTAACCTTTGTTACTCAGATGTTTTTGGACTGCAACTCCCAGAAGCCTTCACCATCAGCTCTGCTGGCTGAGGTTTCTGGGAGTTGCGGTTCAAAAACATCTGAGTAACAAAGGTTAAGAACCACTGTATTATATAAAGTAATAGACCTCCTCACGTGGGACCATTCTGCCTATAGAGAGACCATACAACTTTATTACACTATTTGGTTCAGAATATTTTTTTTCCTGTTTTCCTCCTCTAAAAATTAGCTGCGTCTTATGCTGAGGTGCATCTTATGGAGCGAAAAATACGGTACTTTGTTGCCAACAACAAAAACCACCACCACAAAATTGCAGAGTTGAAAGGGACCCTATGGAGTCCAGCCCATCTCAAGGAGGCACAGTGGGGAAATCAAACTCCCCAACCTCACTGCCTAAACCACTGAGCTTAAATCCATTATCTCTCGGTCTGTTTTCGGTATCCTCACTTGGTCATGGAGATATGTGTAAACAGAACAATCCTATAGCCCTACATCTGAGGAAGTGAACTTGATCCACAAAAGCTCTCATTAAATTATATAGCAGTTAGTTTTTCAGGCACCACACTTTCCTCTCTCTTTCTGTTTGGTTTTGTTCCTTGTCTGCTTGCACAGACCAACATGGTCACTCCTTTGGAAGTGATAACCTGCCCGGTTCATCAGAGACAATCTTACCTTTCATCAGTTTTTCAGCCAAAGCCAACATTGAAGCTGAGCAGTCAATGTTCATGTACTCCTTGACTGACTGACCCCAGATACTATGTGCTGCCCTGTGTGGGTGGACAGGGGGAAAGAAGAAACAAGATGACACACCTACAAATTATCTCCTATACAAAGGAGCTGCCGGAAAGGAAGACCACTTCAGAAAGGAGTCCTGCGGCCAAGGGTCCCCTCCCCACTGCCCCCAGGAAATAGTGACATGGCTATGACACAAATGTGACTTCATTCATTCATCCATCCATCAATCCATTCACTCATGTACTTATATACTGCCCCCATTAGTGCATAGCACTATTCTGGATGTTTTACATAAAATCAATTTTGAACCTTATCCCTCATGTGGCTTCTCACCAGCTGACAGCACCAGTTCCTGAGCCAAAATCCAATAGAGTACGAGGTTCAAAGTCTGGAACTCTCTTGTGGATCTGAAAGGGGCAAAAGAAAAGAGGCTGGTGGAAGCGACTAGAGGCAATGCCCCCCCAACAGCTAACTTCATATAATTTATGGTCTGCTCATTCCAATTTGGAAACAGCACGTAAGAATGAAAAACACAAACTCATCATGTGAATTTCGTTGTATGGATATACTGTGTATATACTTACAATGACAATAAATTATTATTATTATCAGAACGACATAATGAATCAGTTAGCAACGGGGTGTTTGGGTGTGTATAGATACGTGCAAGCATTCATTTAGAAAAAACGGGATGGGGGGAAGGTCTTCTTTATGCCTACAGGCAGATCATTCCATGAAGAACCATTACAGTAAAAGGCACCTTTCTCATCAATAAGTTCAAAGCGCTAGCAAAAAAGGGAACACGCAAGCCCTTCAAGTGTTGCTCCACTTCTGCTCCCACAGCTCTAGCCAGCAGAGGTAATGGCGCTTTCTCATCCCTGATGTATAGCACTGGATTTCCCGTTTGCAACTGGTGGTGATACATAACAATGGGGGAGAGGCCATCAGATTGGTTTAAGAGTCCAATCCATACAGGTGGCCTGCCTTCCAAGACTGTTGTAAGAAAATTGCTAGCGAAGTCGATAGACACAGACGTCTGAAGCAGCAACTCACCTCATGGAAAGCTCGGAATACTGCAGCAAACACCCCATCCATCCGGGCAACCATGTATAGAAAGCTGAGCTCATCAGTGTACCTTGGAAAGACAAAACCACGGCGCCAGTCAGTAGAACATGAAGACATAGGTATGTGTGCAGAGAATGCAACAAGCCACAAGAGCTGGGCAAGTCTCTCACTGGATGCTGCATGTATGTTACATTATGAGCAGCAGCATCTACCATCTCTGTCCTGATCTGTCTAAGTTTGATTCCACCTTCTGAGAACCTCAATAGAAAAAAGAACAATAATAATCAAGTTCATAGCCCTCCTGGTTGTGAGGAGAACACCTGAAGAGAAGCAGGCAAAAACAGGTGAACTTTCAATTGCCAGACAATAGTTCAACTGGATGTGGGCTTGTATAAGCATAAAAAAGAAGCACCATTTCTGCTACAGCAAACAATTGCCCTGATAAGAACGCATATGCAGGACCACATAATTTTACTGTACATAAATTAAGCTAAGCTATGTCATACACAAAGGGGAGGAACTGTGTGAAAAGAAAGGATTTCCCAGATAAACTGTATGCACTGATCCCATGCTGTTAGGCAAGTTACATTTGAGCCAACCCTCCCAGGGGAATCAATCGAGAAGAACCCAGTAACTTACTTCAATGGCTTCCAGTGGTAAGTTGTTTTACGAATGGCATTCAAAACCTTGCGCTGCAACTTATGCTGGTCAATTTGAATTGGAGGGCTCACTGAATCTAATGGGAGGAAGAGAGGAAAGCGAAGGAGACTTAACACACTTGGGTGTAAGAAAGATGGGGGACATCTCTCCTCCAACCCCACTTGTCACTTGCTTCTTACAGATTATCATTACAGATGGGCCAAAACCACGTTTCGGCAGTTCACCCTGGTGCCCTCATGTGTTCCACAGGTGTTGGGTGCTTCCCTCCCCTGTCTCCTTTGGGGGATTGGCCACTCAAGAGGCAGCACCATGGACTTCCACGCCGCACCTTCTTCTATGAATGGGTGATCGCCCAGAGATGGGGGAGGGAAGCACACAGCACCTCTGGAAGACTTGGGCAGGAGCCACGCCAAAATGTCATCCGTGTCCTTTTCTAATTATAAATTTGGGTGGGGGCAAAGCCTTACATGATGCCAAGATCCCATTTAATCATCATTCATTTATTTATTCCACTCATTTCTATGCTGCTGACTTACTGCAAAAGACTACTCTGGCGTTCACCCTTATTATGTTAAATAAGTCATGCATTATTCATGTTTTATGCATATGTGGTTGAAAGGTGGGGCCACTAGAGATGATAAAAGGCGGAGCCACAGAGGAAGAATTAGTTTACAGTGGATCTGAGTTTGAACAGAGAGGAGGAATTAGTTTACAGTGGATCTGAGTTTGAAGGGAGAGACAGAGACAGAGAGAGAGAGAGTTAGTTTTGGGAACCTGAGGAATGAATAGAAACCTGTAAGATAATATAGAAGATTGTTATTGATGCTTGATGAACCTGAAGATACTTATGAATTATTATAGAAACATCTGTAATCAATAAACCTGTTTCATTCAAAAGACAGTGATAAATGGACCTTTGTCTTTCCTAAGTAAAGTACATTGATAAAGAAATCAACTGGTGGCAGCGAGTGAAACGGTGTGTGTTTTGTTTTTGTTTGTTTGCCTTCGTGTGCTCTCTGTTTTTGGGAGACAAACCGGGGCCACGAGGGGCAAACGTCGCAACTAAGCAATTTACAGTACAATGACACAATAAACTCTCCACCACACATGCCAACATTAAAACACTTCTAAAGAGTGAACACAATAAATTAAAAAACCCAAATGATGGCGAAATGGGCTACATATACACATTTAACTTAGGTGAAGATGTCTTTAAATGCCTCATGAAGTAAGAAAGTCTTCAACATCCTCTTAAAAGAAAGGAGGGAGGAGGCCTGATGTACTTCTACTGGAAGCCCACTGCATAAGGAAGAGGCCACGACCAAGAACGCCCAATTTCTGATGACTGTCTTCTTTGCCTTCCAAAATGCAATTGCTCTCTGATTGATGGTGCTTCTCAATCTAACTGGCCCAAGTGAATCCACAAAGACATGGATGGGGGAAAGGCTGGCCCTCCAAATCTTTCAGACATTGCCTCTCAGAAACATGCAGCCACTGTAGCTGATGGCAAGGAATGCATAAGTTGCAGTCAACCATTTGGAGGACCAAACTCCGTTCTCCCACCCCCTTTTTAAACATAACAGCTTTAATAAAAAACTTAAAGGCTGAATTAGTAACAAGATGGGGTCCATGCTTTGCTTCCTTGACAATGTGCAGGAAATAAGCCTCTGTCCACAGTTACTCCACAAAAGCAGAACTAACCTTCCTGATGGGCATGAGCTATCTCCTCCTTCAGTTGCTGCTCCACCTTGTGCACCTTCTGGTACAGCTCTGTTATCTCCACAGGTCGCTTGCGGCTCCAGAGGTAGTTGGTGAGGGCTTTGATTTGTTTCTCCATATTGCGCACAGAAGATTCTGGAAAACGGAATGTTAATAACTCTGGAGACACCGCGGCCACCTCCTCTCTGAGACATAAAGTGTCATCCTATTTGGTTAATGCCCATATAGTGTCACAGACATAAGAGGTGTTTCTTCTTGAGAATAGAGAAGACAGACTGGAATATAAAGACACTTCACTAGATGATCTGCAGTAGATCAGCAAAAGTTTTTGACTTCCAATTATACAGCAACAAGATAAAAATCCACTCTATATACTGCTGCACTGTACATAACTCCTGAAATAAGAATTCATTCGATACAAGCTTTCCTGCCCAATCAAAGCCTCCTCCCCTTTTTATCGGTTTTACTCACGGTCCACCAGAAAGCGAGCGGTTTCTACCAATTCAGGAGGAAGGCTGACACTCTTGAGATGGAGGACGCCAGGGTGGTGGCGGCGGCGGCTTGAATGTTTGCCCAAGAAATCTGAAGTATTATCTACTTGGGAGATCCTGGGGATGACAGATGCCAGGCCCTAAGAGGAAACAGACAAAATGAAAAAGGGGGAGATGAGATCAGTAGTATGAGCACAGCCATATGGAATCCAAGAATTCTAGGGAACCCTGATGATCCAGAACATCTATTCACACCCTTTTTGTTTTGGCCATGGCCATAAACACAATATGAAATATAGGCCGAATCAGGATTGTGTAAGTTGCATAATGGATCTTTTAAGGTGGTGTGAACAATCATAAAAAGCACAAAACTGATACGCTGCAAAGTCCGATATAACACTCAAAACTAGAATCAGAGACCATACGCATATGTCCTTTACAGAAGTTGATTGGCCTTCAAAATGAAATGTGATAATTGGCATGATTTCTGTGGTTTTGTGACTGTGAACTACCTTGAGCTTCTCCACCAGTGGGAAAAGGAGTACAATTCAAGAGCCAAGCATGGCTGTATAGCTGGATATCAATGTAAATTATGCTTACTATACAAAATGTAAATATGATGGACATGATGCAAGCAGCTATTTTTGTTGCCGTTGTGTGCTGTCTAACTTTTGGTGACCCTATGAATTAGAGACCTCCAAAATGTTCCATCATTAAGCATTTAGCTGTTGCAAACTCAAGGCTGTGGCTTCCTTTATTGAGGCAATCCATCTCATAGTTGGTCTTCTCCTGCTGCCCACAACTCCTCCTAACATTATAGTGTTGTCTTCTCATAAGGTGCCCAAAGTACAACAGTCATGATAGTTTATCTCCTGCTGTCCACAACTCCTCTTAACATTATAGTGTTGTCTTCTCATGAGCTGCCCAAAGTACAACAGTCATGATAGTTTAGTCATTCTTGCCTCTAGGGAGACTTCAGGCTTGACTTCATCTAGCACTCACTTGTTTAGCTTTCTGACACTCCATGTTATCAGTAAAGCACTCATCCTACACTGTATTTCAAATAAACCGATGCCCTTCCTTGCCAGCTTTCTCCACTGTCCAGCTTTCTGACAGTAACCTGAATACCGCACTATGGATGATCCTGGCCTTGTTCTCCTTCCTCTTTAGACTTTCTTCACAGAAACCCTTTTGAGTCTCAATCTTTCTCTGACTTCTTCTACAGTCTCCATTTGGACTGATGATGAAACCCAGATAGAGGAAATATTTAACCATTTTCATTTCTTCCTTGCCAGTAATAAAATTATGCAGTTTTTCTATCATCACAATTTTTTGTCTTTTTAATATTTGGCTTAGTCGGATACCCTAAGCAGTGCCCCCCCACACTGTATACAGTCGCTCAGGGGTTCAGCTAAATAACATTAAAGTATCTCACACCATAAAGAGGTAAAAAAAGGTCTGTCTGCAGGATCTTGGCAAGATCCTACCAAGTAGGAGCCGGACCACTAATCAGAGTCAGTCGAAGACAACATCATATATTAGGTAATCACCATCAAAGCATTTTTTTCCAAAAAAAAAAAAAATCAAATCTACCAACCATAACTCCAATGCAGCTTGAAGAGCAAAGAAGAGAAACCAGAAAAGAGATATTGGTTATGTTTCTTTGTATGGTATTCATTTGATCTTTTTTAGTATTTATATATGCTCACTGTGGCTAGCCTTAATTTTGTCTTTTAACTATGTATGCTACCTTAGGTCCTCCCAAGAAAAAAGATACAGTAAAAATATTTTAAATAAATAAATAAGTCCACTTGTGAAGAACAGAGGCAGGTGACCTGATGCCCCTCCAGATGTTTCAGGCTAGTTTCCATCATCCCCAAATACTAGCCATGCTGTCTGGGGCTTAAGGCAGATATTGTATATCCTCAAAACATTTAGTCTTTATCTGAGGTCAGCTATTGTATTCTGTTCCAAGGAATCCAGATTTCCAACGTGTCCGCTCTGTTAATCTCAGCATACATTACAAAAATCAAAGCAAAACAAGCAACCCTTGAGGCACCGTTAAGAGAACCTGATTTATTTTATTTTATTTAAAATATTTCTAAGCTGCCTTTCTCCTTAAAAATAAACACCCTTTATTGAAGCATGAGCCCCATCATACTCCCATGTGGGGCAACGCGAGGGTCTGAAGAAACGGACCGCAAGCCGCGGAAAGCTGCCCTATAATGAATCCGGATTGCTACTACTTCGGATTGGTTAATCCGAATTAAACCACCGGCGCACCGGGGGAAGGCAATATTAACAGCCGTCTCATGGTCTGGAAAGCAGGGAGAGAGAGAACGAGAGAAAGATGAAAAAAATCACCCTGGAAGAACTAGAAACAGTGGTTCCAATGGATCCCCACGTCTTCCACAAGCGCCTGGCCGCCGCCATCTTCGGAAGCCGTTTACTACTCAGTGCGCACGCGCAGTAACAGCCTGGAAGCTTGAGAGCCCTCTTGGGCAGGGAATAGGGGCGAAAGAAAAAAAAACAGGCAGTGGGCATGCGCAATCCCTCTCTTGCTGGTAGCTGAGGAGGGGGCGGCACCATCGCTTGGAATTCCTCCTTGTGGGCGCGGTCTTCGGCCCCTCTGACGTCATCAGAACCCGCCTCCGAGGGAACTGTCAGTTTTAAGGGCGGCGGGGGGGAAAGGAGAGTTTACGTTGCAAGGTCGCGTCCTGATTGGCTCATTAAGTGCCCTCTTCTGCACTCCGTCCCGCCCTTTTTTGTAATGAGCGCCTGGGTGGGAAGCTGGATATTGGGCGCGAAGCGGGGTGGGGGGGGAAGGCTTGCTTATGGAAAATAACAATACTGCTAAATGTATTGAGAGTATATATTTATTTGCTTATTTACTCATTGTCTTTATATGCTGCTTTCCCGTCCCAGGACTGGAAAGCAAGGCGGCTTACAAAAAAGTTAAAAAAGTTACATGCTTAAAATACACTAGCATGGCAGCAGCTAAAATCAGTTTAAATTCATCATCACATTAAAACTAAACTAAAACATTTCAAAATGCTTGATTAAATATTGTAGCCCCAGTTTGTCATTAAAAAGAATCCAGGGTTGGACTCAATGATCCAAAGGGTCCCTTCATACTCTGTAGTTTCAAGGTGATAATTATGATGATGATTATCATCATTATTATTTATAATTTTGAAAGCCATTTGTTGCATGAATAAGGGGATTTTCTACCAGCTACTGGACTGTAGCTCCAGAGTCGTCCCAGCCTGTATGAATATTTGCTTGGCTGCTGTCAGGATTTTAAGAACTGTAGTATTAAAATAAATTTTTCCCTAACTTAGGCTAGTTTGATGTTTTCAATCCAAGTAAATGAATTGGTCAGATTTATGTTTACAGAAAGCTGCAAAACTATACAGCCCGTACAAAACGGAAAATCATGACACTGCAAAACCAAAATACAGTATATACTATGTGAAGTGCTCAGTATTTCTGATGTACACATTCTGCTGCAACCAAAAAGCATTAAACTTCTCAATGATGCTCCAGCAAATATATATTTTATTATATAAACCAGCATATACTTTATTATTATGAGAAAGGGCTCCAAATGGTGCAGGCAAATTTTGACAAATGGTGCAGTCAAATACTACGAACCTTCTGCTGCCATTTTTCTGAAATTTATTCCTATAATAAAACTAGAGTTGGTAGAGTATTGTGTCACTATCTTTGAATGTGCATCTCACAAGCAAAATTTGTTCAGAAACTGAAAAATTTAGATGAGGACAAATTTCAACAACATCCGTGGTTCTCATTCACTCCAGTCTGAAGCACCAGCAGTTCATTCCTGAACAGTCTTTCCTGCAGGGAAAACACCTTATTTTGGGTAGTAAACCTAAAGGAAGTCATTAAATGGTTTAGAGCCAAGTGCTCTGCTGGAGAAAGGTGTCTCAGTATGACCACTGGCATTGGAGATTTGAACTGTCATTTTGAAAAGTAGCTTTTCCAACCTTGGTCTCTTCCCATTATAGTATTTTTAGATCTTTGGAGGGGTTGAAATAGTACAGCTTTTTGTTATGTGTCATCAAATGGCATCCAATTTATAGTAACGCTAATTGGGTTTTCAAGGGTTGTAAGATATTTATAACTGTGGGACGTGGTGGCGCTGCGAGTTAAACTGCAGAAGCCTCTGTGCTGCGAGTTCAGAAGACCAGCAGTCGTAAGATCGAATCCACGCGACGGAGTGAGCTCCCGTCGCTTGTTCCAGCTCTTGCCAACCTAGCAGTTTGAAAGCATGCAAATGCGAGTAGATAAATAGGTACCACCTCGGTGGGAAGGTAACGGTGTTCCGTGTCTGGTCACACTGGCTACGTGACCATGAAAACTGTCTTCAGACAAACACTGGCTCTATGGCTTGGAAACGCGGATGAGCACCGCCCCCTAGAGTCGGACATGACTGGACTAAATGTCAAGGGGAACCTTTATCTTTACCTAAGATATTTATAAAGAGTGTATTTACCACCTTCCCAATGACTTTCCATACACAGGTCTCTTGAGTCCTAATCCTTCACTCATGAGCATAATCATAAGTAGATAATGTTCACATTGTTAGTATTCCTAGAAAAAAATGCAGCAACCAGCCCTGCAAGCTGGGGCTACATAGACAATGGATTTTTGTCCCATGTTCAAATGGTGTGCTTCAAGAGAGATATCTGAGGATGAGGGAAAGTGACAGACATGTTCTGGCATGCATATGATTTGAGAGAGTACCAAGATCTGGAAGACATGGAGTCTTTGAATAAGCTAGCACAATGCTGATCTATTGAGCGGAACGTAAACCAGCATCTTCTATGGTCTGACATGTACCCATGAAATCCCTAATCCCAATTTTACTGTCATGGGAAAGCAACGAAACAAGAGAAGTTTCTGGAACTCTTCATGGACTATCATATGTGCCTGGTGGATTGTGTGCAGACCTTTGTTAAAATGGGAGTGCTGCTCATAGGATAATCACTGATGAGCTTGTATAAGGTCATCCATTCCGGGCAGAAGGGAAAGTAAGAACTTTAGATCTGCAAGATTCAATGACTCTGTCTTGTATTGACTCTGCGAATTACATTCTTTCAGGGGTCCGGGAATGCTACATGAAATTACTCTCTTCAAAATGGACAGGCCATCCTGATGGGTCACAACCAATGAGAATATGTCTTTGTCCAGAGTGGGCCCAATACTGGCATTGGCCTCTTGAGGTCCCTTGCAGCTTACAGGTTGTGACGGGCAACTGAAACCTGCTCAGCCGTAAGGCCCGGCGATAGTGGCTTCCAGCCCAGCCACAGATGTCCTTCAGCTGGTTCCTGGGTGCATGGACGAAGCTGTTGGTGTCTCTGCAAGGCCTTGTCAGCCCTCGGCGCAGCATCATGGTCCTGCAATAGTCCTGCTCTGGCAGTTTGGTCTTGGGGAAGTCATTGTGCTGCCTCCAAAACTTCTCTTGCCGAGGATTCTGGGAAAAGACTTGGCTTGCGACCAGGCAAGACACGAAGAAGAGAATCATCAGCATTGCCTTTCCTTTTAAAGGAAGTGTTGTGGCTGAATTTGGATGATTCTGCAACAGAACAAAATGAAAGGATTAGGCTGGATGTCTGCAACTTGTGTCCTGTGAACTGTTGTGGCCCATTGGACATGTCTTACTCATTACTGTATTTTTCCGTGTATAAAACTATACTTTTGTCTAAAATCTTTAGACAAAAAATTGAGGGTCGTCTTATACACTGAAATAAGCTGAGGAGAGAACAAACACAAGTAGAGGGGAAAGCAGGGATCAAAGCGATCCTGCAGCACTTTGATCCCTTTCCCCCTGCACTTGCTAAGCTTAGCTTTCTTAATTTTGGATTAGAAAAGTGGGGGGGGGGGTCTTATACATGGGGGCATCTTTTACACGGAAAAATACGGTACCCAGTCCAATCCTACTTCGCTTTGGCTTCTTTAGACAGAATAAGAATCTCATCCAGCCCCCTAAAGTTCAGTCAGTTCAACGGGATACACAGGTTAACAATGAATACAAATTCTATACTAACAAGCAGGTGAGGATGACATCTGGTCTGTAATCTGAGAAACACATTACAGTAAGCAGGATGAAACGGCCCTAAGGCCTATTTATGGTGCCAGTCCTGCAATACATTGCATAATGACCTGACCTATGAGGGCAGGAAACATGCAGCGCCCACAGATGTGATTGGATCCCTCATCAGCCATTGTAATAGCTGATAGTTCCCCATGTGCTTTTCAGCCATGATCTGCTCATGCAGCAGAGAGATGGTTAGAAGGAGGTAGGAAATGGTGAAGGAGGCTTTACCCCGCCCCCCAGACTTCAACTGCAGGATGCATGTGTTTCGTTTCTTTCCCATATAAACATTTAACTCACTGCAAACAAGAAAAAAAATACTGCACAAAAGAGAACATTCTGCTGTCTCCATTCCCTGCTGTGTTAGCTTTCTTCATACAGGGAAATTATTATGCAAGATTAAATGGGAAAATGTGGCCATTATGATCGCACTCTCCTTTCTACCAGGGGCATACTTTACCGTCTGTCCGTGTTCACTAGGAAAGAGGAGAGGATAGCTCTGTTTACATGTCCTATCATCCATCCGTGGACTTGGGAAAAACTTGGGTGACTACATTACCAAGAATCCCCCAGAAAATTATTGCAACAAAAGTGCTTTGCATAGGGACTCTTAGCTGAATTTCTATAATTGACTGAAGGATGAAAGGTGGAGATGCTACCGAGAAGCTGTGCTGTGTTTTTCTTGATGCAAAGTTTAGTTTTTGCATGTCAGCATTTTGTGTTTCTATATGAAAAAAATTTTTTGACTGCACTAGTCCCAGATTGGGAGCCCTGGTCCCAACTCACCAATCTGCACACCTCCGCTCTCTGCCCTCGGTAATGGCAGAGGTATCTGTGAGATAAGGCTATTTCATCTCCATCATCATTCCATGTCCGCATGCCATGCACGGGGGAGACACACGTCAGCTGCTTGGAATGCAAGGCAACTGCTGCCCATGCCGGGCAGCGGACATTAGGCGGCAGCAGAAGATAAAAAGAGAGAGGACACCGAGAGAGAAATTCATGAGGTGAAGTGAGAACTTCAGGCTTGAATCTCTGCCTCAGGGAAGCTGCTGCAGAGATTAAATGCACGAAACTGCAGACAGCAGTTCTGAGGGCTGAAACAGAGCAAAGAGCTTTTGGCAAGCACAAAGAGGAAAGGAGAAGCATGCATGTACACACCCATGCACAACTTTCTATCTTCTGTACCACTTTAAAAATGTGTTTCACTGATCTCTTGCATGGGTCGCTTTTCCTTTAGGCAGCCAGAAAGTCCCTGCTTAGCTGCCTCCTTCCACTGTGCTATTTATTTAATTCCTGTACCTCTTTCTCTCCCACAGCGGGCCTCAAAGCTACTAGCAATAACAGGGACCCAGCAAGCACCAGTTAAAATAATAGAGCTGTTATAAACCACAAACT